GAAAAACTGAAAGCTATCCCTCTAAGAACAGGAACAGACAAGGATGCCCACTCTCACCACTCCTGTTTAACATAGTACTGGAAGTCCTGGCAGAGCAATCAGGCAAAAAAAAGAAATAAAAGGGATCCAAATTGGAAAGGAAGAAGTGAAGCTGTCACTATTTGCAGAGGACGTCATTTTATATATAGAAAACCCTAGAGAATCCACAAAAAAACTTTAGAATTAATAAATGAATATGGTAAAGTTGCAGGATACAAAATCAACATACAAAAATCAGTTGCATTTCTATACACTAACAATGAAGCAGCACAGAGAGAAATTACGAATACAATCCCATTTATAATTGCAACAAAAAGAATAAAATACCTAGGAATAAACTTAGCCAAAGAGGTGAAAGATCTGTACACTGAAAACTATAAAACATGCTGAAAGAAATTGAAGAAGACACAAAGAAATGGAAAGATATTCCATGCTCCTGGATTGGAAGAATTAACGTAGTTAAGATGTCCATACTTCCTAAAGTAATCTATGGATTCAATGCAATCTCTATCAAAGTTCCAACAACATTTTTCACAAAAATAGAACAAAGAATCCTAAAATTTATATGGAACAAGAAAAGACCCCGAATAGCCAAAGTGATATGTGTATATATATACACATACACACACACACAATGGAATACTACTGGGCCATAAAAAAGGATAAAATCTGGCCATTTGTGATATCGTGGATGGACCTTGAGGGTATTAAGCTAAGCAAAATAAGTCAGAGGGAGAAGGTCAAATACCGTATGATCTCACTCATAAGTAGAAGATAAAAACAACAACAAACAAACACATAGAGACAGAGATTGGATTGGTGGTCACCAGAGGGGATCAGGGGAGGGAGGAGGGCAAAAGGGATGATTAGGCACACGTGTGTGGTGATGGGTTGTAATTAGTATTTGGGTGGTGAACATGATATAATCTATGCAGAAATAGAAGTATAATGACGTATGCCTGAAATTTATACAATGTTACAAACCAATATTACTGCAATAAAAAAATTAATTAATTTTTAAAAATCTCAAAAAAAAGATTAAATTGTCAACTCTATCAATTTAAATGTAAGACACCATTATTAGCGCATCTTAATTTCAGAGATGTTAAAATGTAAAAAAAAGTATGTCTAAAAATCAGTGCTATATGGAATATTCCCACTATTAATTCCACTGTAAATAAAATATCTGTTTTACTTAAGCCAAAACAAAACAAAAAAATGTTATTGAGATCATAAAGAGAACCGTTCACTACAGTTCACTTAAGAGCAGTTTGAGGCGGCTAGAACTTGCTTCAGCTAGCTTGCTTGTGGGAACCTTCTGTGGTTCTGTGGTTAGGCTCTTCCTGAAACTTTCCATCTGCAAAACAGTCAACAGATAATAGTTTTAATAAGATCCTCCGTACCCTTTTCTTTGCCTACTTCCCTAGTCACAGTATCTGTGCTTGTGTACCTATTTAGCAAAAGTATGTCAGACTCTAGTTGTCAAGAAAGATCAAAATGGAGAGAGACTAATTATTGCATATGGTGAGGTGACTTTCAATTGTGTGTGTTTGTAAACAAGGATCGCGGTTTCACAAGTCTCTTCCCAACACTACCTGTCAAAGCAAGTGTCTCTGGAGAGGAGGAGTTCTGGCTGGCATTCTGCTCAGACACCTAAACTCAGGGGCCTGTCACTCAAACACAAGGGGGCGAGTCTTGCGAACTGTCCAATCGGAGGCAGCGCTGGGGCAGGTGGGTGGGGCGAAGCTCTCCAACCGACCCGGAAGTTGCTGCTCGCTCCAGCCACGCTGGGGGTTTCGTGTCCGTGCCGTTAAAGGCTCTACGTGGCTCTGCCGCCTATTCTGTCGGGTTGTGACCTGTACTGACGTCGGTAGTCGGTGAGAAGGACGCCGGGGGACCCAGGAAACCTAGAAATTGTGAGAGTTCGGCCTGAGTCAGGATTTGGGGGAGGAGTGCCTGGCCCAACGTGGACTTCCCTTCGCGCTCCTGCGGTGCTCGGGGTCGGTTGCCGCCTGCCGTTAACGGTCCCTGGTGGCTCTGTCACAGCCTGTGTCACGCTGTGATCTGCACTGGCCGTGGGAGTCATAGGAAGGACTCAGGGGGACCCAGGAGACTAGAAATGGTGAGTGTGCGGCCCCGGGTGAGGAGACGGGGAGGAGGGCTGGTCGGAACCGGCCGTGGCGGGACCGGCCTCCCCGCGGTCACCTCCGAGTCTGCGGACCCGAGTCCGCGGGGGCGCCGCTCGGACCTCAGTCCCCTCCGGCCGCAGCGTGGGGGCGGGGCCGGCAGCCGGGACCCCGGGCGTCCTGTGGTCACTGCGCGCGGCGACTTCGGCCCCGGAGCCTCTCTGGGCAGCTCTGCGCCCGCAGCCCCGCGTGTCCCCAGATGGTGCGGTGACCACGGGGAGGGTCATCGGGGACAATCGTGACTCGGTCTCCAGGATTCATTCATGGAATGAGCTTTGGTCTGTGGCGTCCTCAGGCCTTCCTTTCCCTTGAAGAGGACACCCATTTTCTTCTGAATTTTCTACATATTTGGGGAGCAGAGTCTCAAATCCACGACTCTATACCCCCAGTCTAGGTCTTCCTAGGCCTGGCAACAAATGCCTGAGTTTCCAATCTATGCCCACATTCGCAAATGCCAACTTCCTGTCTCGGATTCACAGCATTATTATCAACTATTTGTTCTCCTGGTGGATTTGAAACAGATGCAATATTTTAATTATCATTTTCTCACAGTAAATGGATGGCTGTTTTTAAAAGATTTATTTTGTGTGTGTGGGTATTTTACATGAGTGAAAAGCAGCCTATAACCACCTGGAAGTACATTGTATGAAATACTTGAGCCTCTCCCCCCAGGATCTTTCTGGGCACAGACAGCCTATGGGAAATTCTTTGGGTGGAGTTTCCTCTTGAGAAACTCTCCTGGATGATCTGCCCTGTCAGCACTGTCCCTATCTGAATTAGTCACCTTTGAAAGACTTATTCACTTAATTTTAGTCACAGGTTTTCAATGAATAAAAATTTATTTAATTAATACGACTTCAAACACAATATAAAATATTTCCAAAGATGCAAGAAAGAGGTAAATTTGGGAAAAAATAAAATATTCCAGTTTTACATTGCATGTACTAAATTCTTCTTTCCCTTTTTTTCCTCCTATCATGGATAGTAATATTCTGAGTTCTGTTCTTTTATTTTAGGTGAGTTCTAATGGATTTTCAGGGCTTAAACTTGAAATATTCAAGTATGATTAATAGTTTAATAAAAATTCTTGTCATAGCATACTATATTAACATCTTTTTTCCCCAGAGTGCAATACATTCTTGTGGGGTTTCTTGTTGAGCCAGCAAAGTGACATACAATTTGCTTCCCTCAGTTCCACATAAAGACTGGTTTGAGTGTTTTAGGTGAATTGTTCAAACGCTGGCTTTTATGTAGTTTAAAACGTCAGTGGTGGTCCAAAAAACCCTCCAGTGGGGCAGAGGCCTGAGGGCAGTGGATCTAAGCTAAGGCCCCCTTGGGCCTCCAAAGGGAAGGACTTGAAGGCTCAATTGTTCTTCCTAGGGAGCCTCCCCCTGCAGGTGTCCTACTGCTCACACCCCCCATGGAAGGAGCCTCTATACTGAGAGGAGCTGCAGAGCCCTGGAAAGCTGGGGGTGCACGTGCACATGGGGGTGGGGAGTGATGCCCTTTCTGAGGTTGTAACTGTGGTTTCCTTGGGCCTGTTTCTAGACATAAATTGCAGTTTTGCATCCACAGTGTATGTGCACTCAGAGTGTAATTTGTTTACATTGAGAAAGTCTGTGAAAGTCAGGAGTTCTGTGTCCTGGATTAGGGTCCATTAATTTGGGAGTTGATTTGGGTCAGAACCTTCAACTGACTCCAGCTGAGTTTTCCTCATTGTGAGAAGGGAAGCCTGAGAAAGGGAGCATGTGCATTATTCCCTGGGGAGAGGAGGGCGTGTGGAGCTCCCAGAGTTCACTCCTGTGGCTGCTCAGGTGCCCCACCCTCCTCCACCAAGGACTGACCCACTCCAGGGGTTCTGTCTCAACCAGGAGGGTCAGGAATATGGAAGCTTCTGAGTGTGGCTTTCCTTCTGTCCTGTGGGAAGCAGGTTGCTTATCTGTGCTGATTCCAATATTTGTGTTTCTTTCCTTTGGATTCTTTTATGGATTGAATAGTGCAGCCCTTTGGCTCTACTTTCCCTTAGCACTTGGGCCCTGACACTGTAAGTTGATGGAGAGATAGGATGTGAGGAAAGCAAGAAAATTTTTCAGTTTTAGATCAGTTTTTCTATGTGCATGTCTCTACAGAATACAGAAATTTAAAAGGCTAAAATAATTGAAATTCTATTTTAATTGATGTGAGAAAATCTTCTGAAAGTTTATGTAAATCTTTGAAAATACAAAACATTTAAGTATTTAAACTCAAACCCTGATTGCATTATAGTATGCTTACTCCTGAAAATAACTCCAATGTGTGATAGAGGGGAAGGACAAACTAGTATGGTATATGTCCTTTTAGTTAGAAAGAGATGTGAAATTTTATTTTGTTTGGTTAACACTTTTGTAACTGTTAGTGTTTAAAGGAATTAAATCTTAGAATGGTTTCCTATGTATGAGTTAAAATTAAAGAATATAAATTTCTCTGTTTATTTGAAATAACTCTATAAGGTAGCAAAGTCTAACTTAAGAAGACTCACTGCCAACATATCCTGATCACCTCTAGCACTGTTACTCAAGTAACCCCAAATACACAGTTTTGATAATTTTTGAGCCCCTGTTAGTGTTTATTTATATAAACCAATCAAGAATGCATATTTTTCTTACCCGCTTTGTCCTTGTAATGAGCAGTTAGACTCCACATTTTTAGATGACGCTCACAGCTTAAGCCTCACCCCACCCTCTTCCCCTTGTGCCCCCACCTGGACAAGCTGATGAGAAAGTCTTGCTGTTCTCTCCTCTAGAGCAGGCAGGAGGTTCCCGTCACACAAGCCCCTGCCTGTGTGCAGAACTCTTGCCCTGGCCCCACCCCCAAGCACAGTGCACACCCAGGCCAGGCTCCATTCCTTGCTTTCGGAGCCCTTCCAGAGCTGCTTGAGAGGCCGGCCCTGTCCTCCCCCTCAGACCTGTATTATGTGAATTCTAAGCCTTTTCCTACTGTGTGTGTGTGTGTGTGTGTGTGTGTGTGTGCACGCGCGCGTGCGCACGCGCGCACGTGCCACCCTGGCATCAGTCTCAGCAACGGACCCACCCCTCTGCAGTGACCATAACAGTTGTGCCCTGAGCAGCGTGTCCAGACATGACCCCCACCCGTGGGTCTGTCATCTCCTGCTCTGACTTGCTCACCTGCTCTGCTGCCTGGTGGCAGCCTGCACTGTGGGCTGCTGCTTGCTGGGGAGCCTGTGCTGTGAGCTATGCTGCCCCGTGTTGCACTGTTGACCCACCAAGCCTCAGTTCTAGGTTCAGCTGACCAGAGTCGGTAATTTGAGGAATTTGTAGGCATTTGGGAGCAGGACTATGTGATTGGGGCCTCCTTAAATGAGTCCTGGGTCAATGTCTTTGCTGGGATTTATCTGTGTGTTAGGGTGAAGCTGTGACAGAGGCTGGATGGGCCTGACACACCCCAGGGATGGGGGTGGTAGAGAGAGACTATATCCTTTGCAGGGGGTGTGTCCAGCAGATGGTCACTTCTGTAAGAGCAGTCAATTTAAAAAATAGAGAGAAGAGGGGGGAAAGGCAGGCAGTAGGTGGTGGGCTGAGTCCACACTCCTAATACCAGAGGGCTTGCCAGGACCCTGTGTACCTCTGCTGCCCCTGCTTCTACTATGACAAAGATCCTGACCTTCAGGGTTATAGGGGACAACACCCATAGCACCCCCATGGCACAATATATTGGTTCAAACCTGACTAAGCCCAAGGTTTAAACCTTATAAAGCAACCAGTTGTCATGAGGGAGGCTCCTAACCCTTATGGCACTGTTTTGAGACTTTCAGTGGAAAACAATTTATAAATACCAGGGTAGAGAGGCACTCCCTCCCCTGAAGTGTATCTCATGATGAAGGAAACAAAACAGGAAAGATCAGAAGAAAGGAAACAATAGATAAAATACTGAAACAAAAGTCCACAATTGGACCCAATTGGTCATCCAGAATATACTAAAAGAATGTACATAACAAAACAGAGAAAGGTACACTGATTGGCTTTTGGGCCTGTACAACATAGGTTCTGAATTAATTTTCCTACCTGATATAATGCACTAATTCAGAAACCTTCAAGAAGTTAATCAATACTAAGTATTAAATTACTGTTATACCTGAGATGCCACTAAATTTAAGTAAGGTGCCTCTGATGATCTTAGGGGTGTTAATGAATATAAGATAAAGGACAAATAGGATAAATGTTTCATCTTTAGCCGTCAGAACATAAGCTTGATAAATTCTCCATGGTTATATCACCCATTGTCATAAAATATCTCATAGTGCGTTGGGAATCACTGAATGAATGATCAAGAATTACAATTAATGAAGTCTTTGACACTTACACACTGGCGTGACAAATTGGGACTCCAATGACCTTATCCTACAAATAACGTAGTTAATATGGCCCAATGTAAATTACCCAGGGCCTTGAAGGATTGAAAACTATAGAAAATCTAGTTAGTGAAGGGTTGATTATTCCCAGTGCTTCTTCTAACAGCTCAGTTTGTCCTGTTATTAAACCTAGAAAGAGTGAATGACACCTCAGAGTGGTTTACATCAACTTGAGGCTATGGTTGCACCACACAGACCTCTCTACCCAGTCCCCAACAGTGGGGAAATTACTGACTACAACCAATCAGCAAGTGATAAATATCCTGCTCTCACAGATTTGGCTAAGTCTGTGCTGTAGTGCCTATGTTAACAGCCTCTCAGCTGCACTTGGCCTTCACCTCTGAAGGGACATGATGCACCTTTACTGGGTTTTCCTCATGGATCTTCAACAGCTGTGCCCTCCCACACAGTCATTGCAGCAGGATCTGAACTGCATCCTTGTTTCTCCAAGAACATAGGTGTGATGTTACATTAATGACATCTCCTCTGAGAACATTTAGGAATACAAATATTTAAAAAAGGAGCTCA